ACACAGATTATTATTTTTTAGATGAAGAGTAGCTGCCCCAGATAAAACGTGTAAAAATAGCTTTTTAAAAAAAAAAAATCATGTTTATTTTTAATGTTAAAGTTTAATGTTTCACCTCAAAATATAATAGTAACATATTATGACACGTGTGTATACATCCCATGAATGTACATATTAAAACCCTGGAGAGACTATACTGCCACCTCTGAGCATCTCATTCTCAAAATATGGTCCATTTTCCATACGATGACTGCATGGCCCAAGATACTAAAATATGGGAGGAATGGACTTTACAGACCAATCCACTGATACCATCACAACCTTCACATCACAACTAAAGTTAATAACAATTACCCCACAATTCCCCCCTCTCTGCATTGTACATTAGGGATTTCATTATTTCCTTATACGGCTACAGTTATCTACAACATCCCTACAATTTACAATAATACATTTACTATTTTCTCCAAAACCCCCTTAAATTTATAACAAAACATTAAATATTTTCCTAACTTTGTGCTAATAGTTGTTTTCTTACATTTTTCTTTTTAATTTCATTGCGGTTATTATTTTAAACCCGGTCATATTGTGTTGTATTTGCTTCACTAATGTTTTGAAGTACAGTGGGAGCTCTGTAAAATCCAGCACTGATTGACACTGTTACCTTTAAAGCAGATGTATTGTTCATTATTTAGAATACGCTGCCATGTTTTTACATCTTGTTATTACTGGGTTTTATCGCACCCTTGCCAAATTAAGATTATTTGATCATTTGCTACTTACCACCATACTATTGGACTGTCTTAGAAATAATCAAATAAATTCTCTGCAACAAATAGTACTATAGAATTATAATGGGTATAGGTAACTGTTAAACCTTTAGATTGGGATGTATTAACACTTGGCATTTCAAATTCATCTTGTAACAGGATGCAAAAAATAAAATTATTGGTAAAATTGCCCTGTTTTTTGTCTAGCAATTCATTGGAAGTGGACGAACCAAGTGGCTTCCTAGTATAAAACCGGCGCCATAGAATATGCATGCATGCCAGGTGTCTACTGATAAATAACCACTAGATGTCACTAGCACAGCAAAGTATTGTGTACATTTTTTGTAATGAGAATAAAATCATGTTTTTAGATAGTTTGTAAGAGTAGAACCATCCGATGTGTAAATATATAATAAATTGCATATTAGGATATTTGTTATAACACTTAGCTACACAAAAAGCTACTATAGCTTTGCTGTATCTCCATATATAATAGCTTTGCTGTATCTCCATATATAATAGCTTTGCTGTATCTCAATATATTTCTTCTTATATCTTACAAAAAAACAATAACAGAGAAAATGTTTGAAAATATTTTATTGGAAATACAAATTAGTGTTAAATCACGAGATCTGTCTAAATATTTCAAAGTCTTGCTATTTCTATTGTCGTGTCCAGATTGGACAATGTGTTTTATTGATTTATTATAACGTCTACTGCCATAGTTCCCAATCTTGTTTTGGAGCAACATTTCAGTGACAAACATTTCCAATGTCAAACTACGTTTTCTTTCCAACAGGAACGTAAAATTGTCACATTTATTTGATATTTCTGCATGTTTCTAGTCAAAATCATGTATTAGTTTTTACCAATTGCCAGATGATAATCTCAGTTTTTCTGCTGACATTAAAAACCAACAATAAATGTTAAGGTCTGTATTAAACAGATTGCAGCCGTGAAGTGAATGTTTGAGGTGGCTTGAGGTACACGGGTGGCCTACGGTAATTGCTTCCTGTCATTTTGTGTTAGTTATCTTGTGATACATACACCACATTACACAATCACTGTGTGGCAGGAGGGTTTCACTTAAAGAAAAAGGCATCCACATCTTCAAAGAGCTACACTCTCAATAATCCCTTCTTATAAATGTGTTAACGATAAACCTTGTTATCAATACATTAGTTACATTCTGAGATATAGCTGCATCTTACAATGAATTTGTGTCCTTAGTAAGCAGTCCTGTGCCAATCAGTATGTCTGCTCAATATCTAACATTCGTTCATAGATAACATACAAGGTTTGCTAGTGGACTTTAAGGCATAGTGTATCATTTATTTCCATTTAATATTGGCAGATACCAACAGGATGTCCACCTTGTGTCCTATTGCGTTGTGACAAAATACTGAAATTGTTTTTCTTTGGAAACTCGGATGTGGGTTTACTTTTGGATAAGTTGTTGGATCAGGCTGTCGATGTGTTTATCAGGGACAGGCGTAGACTTTGTTCTATTGCCGCTTTCTTATTATGTGTCCAGAGCTCAGTGGTTTCTGGTG